AAACACCCCCTGTGGGGGATGGCCATACCATAATCTCCCTGCTCCTCCCCTTCCTCTTCTGGAGATTTTGGGCACACACGCGCATGTGCTAGGTGTCGTTCTCAAGCCACCAGGTCTGAGATTCAAACCGTGTGGCTGTCCATGTGTGATTCCGCCACCTCAACCACCATGCCACGGGCTGGCCCCTGACTCTCTCTTTAAAAACTGATATGGGGGCGGGGCAGTTGATGCCATAGTAATGCAACTGAACCCACAAGGGAAGGTCCAGGGTTCACTTCCCGAGGTCTCCCTGTACGGGCACCCACATACCCGTGATCCAGGTTGGCTGTAGCTGGGGTGAGTCATGGCATGAGGACCCTGGTGGGAGTTTCTCACTTTCTCAAGAAATAATAAAGGTAAAAGAAATGGTAAGGGGGGGATGTGGATGGTGTAATGGTGACATCCCACATAGTTGACTACAGTTCAAGTCTTGGACCTGACAGCTTAAAATTCATGCTGGGTGCATGTACACATGTGCCCAAGAGCCCAAGAGGAGAATGGAGGAGAAGGGATGGTGGTGTGGCCATTTCCTCTGGGGGGCAGGGTGTGTGTGTGATTTTTAGCTTCCTGTCTGTCTGTCTCTTTGGCAAGTGCATGTGCCCTGTAGCAAAAATCTCTCTCTCTCTTAAAAAAAAAAAAAATTAGGGCCCAACTCTTTCTGATCGAGCTTCACCTCTCCCCGGAAAAAATGGTATAGGGCTGGATCTGTGGCGCAGCAACATGTATTTATTGCTCAAGAGAAGCTGGATCTGGAAACCAGCAGTTAGCGTAATGACTATGTCGCTGGACTCCCACGCAGTCGACCGCGGTTCGTGTCCCGGACCCGGTGGCTTAAAACTCACGCTGGGCGCGTGTGCGTGCGTGCCCAAGATCCCGAGAGGAGAATGGAGGAGAAGGGATTGTGGCGTGACCATCCCCCCTGGGGGGTGATTTCTCACTCTCTGTCTTCTGTCTCTCTCTGTCTGTCTGGCAAGCGCACGTGCCCTATAGCGAAAAAACTCTCAAAAAAAAATAATAAAAAAAGAGAGAGAAGCTGGATCCCGCAGGGCAGCCATGGTTCAAGTTCCTGGCCCAGTCAGCCGGAAGCATGCCAGGCACGTGTGCTGGTGCCCAAGATCCAATGGGCCAGAGGACTGAAGGAGGTCATGGTGTGACCAGACTCTTTGGAAGTTTCCTCTCTGTCTCTCTCATATACATGTGTACATGCTCTCTCATAAGTACAAGAATAAAAGATATATGTACAAAGAAGAAAGTAATAAACTGCCTCAAATCTAAATATCCAGAATTAACCAGGCTAGGTTAACCTCCGGTGAACTTCATTGTAGCTTTCTCTTTCTGTGTATATTCAGATAAATCACTAGACGGAGGGATGGGTGCGTAGAAGAAAGAGGAAGGACGTTTTATCTGTATTTTGTCATATCATAGTTGTTATTTTAAAATGAAAACGATGATATTTAATCTCACTGAAATTTGTTTGTTCGTTTTTTTATAGGGCACTTAGGCTCACCAGGGAGAGAGGCAGAGAGGGAAAGTGAGAAATCACCTTCAGGGAGGATGGCCACGCTGCAATCCCTTCTCCTCCATTCTCCTCTCAGATTTTGGGCATGCGCTCCTATGCTTCCCCTGTGATTTTCAAGTTGCTGGGTCCAGGACTCAAGCCATGCAACCAGTCATGTGGGATCCAGCTTCTTAACCTCTATGCCACCTACTGGACCAATCTTATTAAAATGTAAGAGAAAGTAACTGAAGTAAAATAGAAGAATAAGCAGACTTAGAATAATGTCAATTAATCACAAGAGACATTCGCTCCTAAAAAAATCCTTCCGATGGGGAGAGAGAGAATCAAAACCATTAGAGTCAGAGTCGTTCTGTCGTGTTTTATTAATGATGTATTTCAGTTTCAGATGTCATGACTTGACTCTGCTTTAAAGACATTCTTTGTACGTGCACTCTCTTCTCCCTCCCACCTACCCCCCAATTTCAGTTGCTTAAATTATTTTTACCTTGACAGGTTGTATAACATTTCCTTTCTGTTCTGCAACCACATTCACCTAGTTGCTATTCCTAGTTCTGTGCCTAAATAGGTCTGAGGCTCCCCGCCCCTCACCCTAACAGGGCATCTGCATTACTGGGTTCTTGTCTTCCTTTTGAATCATCCCTCGGTTGGCAGGAGATTGTCACGGATCGCTACTCTTGGTAAGAGCAGCTTAGAAGTGCGGCGTTTCCTGGGGTCTCTCGAGCTAGGAAGGACCAACTGTACCTGAACAACCAGCTGCCATCTCCCGTCCTTGGGCCACCCTGGTTCCCCTGCAGCACATGACAGACATTCTTTCTTTACTTTTCATCGGTTGCCTTAGCGTCTTTTGGTGGGGTTTGGCAGTATGCGACGACCGGCATCTCTTTCATTCCCTGTGGTTTCCATTTGCATTTCACGTATGACAAGAAACTTTGAATATTTTTCATATTCCCTACATTTTTTTTAGACGTTTTTGCTATAGGGTGCATGCGCTTGCCAGAAAGACAGAGAGAGACAGAGAGACAGAAAGTAAGAAATCACCCCCCAGGAGGATGGCCACGCCACAATCCCTTCTCCTCCATTCTCCTCTCGGGATCTTGGGCATGCACGCACAGGCGCCCAGCGTGAGTCTAAGCCACTGATGGGATCCGGGACTCAAACCGTGGTCGACTACATGGGAGTCCAGCGACATAGCCATTACGCCAACTACTGGTCCCCATATTCCCTGAATTTTGAACCACGAGCAATAAGGTAAGAGAGAAAGAGCTGATATCAGAGAGGAGGCCGGCACTGAACCCCAGAATGAGATGGACAGGCCTGGACTTGAGCAGGCATTCTTCCCCGGGGGAATAGTCTACACCCAGCACCTACAGCACGGAGGGGCTGCCTCCTTCCTGCTGTGGAAACGGGGCAGGGGTGGGCTACCAGCAGGCCTGTGCTTTCCCTCCAGCCCAACCCTCAGATGTGTCACTCTGCCTCCTATGTACAAGAGCACGTGGGTGTGGAGGCAGCGACAGCGACAGCTCCCTCCCCACGGGGACTCGTCAGGGGACAGGAGGTGGCCTCTGCTCATCTCTGGGCTTTGACTTCCTCACCTATTGAATCTTGATTTTTATCAAGTTTCATCGATGGCATAAAGTACTCTCAGAACTCGGCTTCCACTTCAGGTTGTTTCCCTCCGCCACGTTTCTCCACTCGCACGTGGCGTGGATGCTGGATTCTGCCGTGGGATGCTGAGGCCTTAACTCACATTTAAGAGCTGGGTTAGAAGAGGAGATCGGCATTTAAGAGGTGGGTTAGGAGTCAGGTGGGGTAGGTCAAGGAACAAGCAGGAGCTTGAGAAACAGGCAGAAGGCACAGAGTGTTCTGTGGAGAGATCAGGGACCCAGAGAGAGGCAGGGTGGCAGGTGAGGAGATGGCGCTGGTCTCTGGAGAATGCTGATGTGTGGGTCTAGGTGGTGGGGCTGGGTGTGCGGTCGGAGTAGGGGGGCAGAGACGCCAAAGGAGAAGCAAAGGTGACAGACAGAAGGAGGACAGAGACCAAGAGAATCAGGGAGAGCTGAATGGGGGACATGAGGATTGGGTGAGGCAAGCCACGGTGAAGAGGAGGACTCTGTCTCCTGGAGGTGGCCGAGGTAGCCACACGGGCTCCCAGGAGAGGCCTGGCCAGCAGCAGGGAACACAGGGGGTCTGGCAGGAAGGGCAGAAAGGAGGGTGGAAATGTGTCAGGGCCACCTTGGTCATGGTGTCAAGGGCAGAGGCTCTGAAGTCAAGGACGCGCAAAGCGAGGCTGGGAACTGGCCCCGGGGAGTGGTGGCAGGGCCTCACTCCGGCCTGCTCCCTTGCTGCTCAGTCCAGGCTGCTCAGTCAGGCAGCACCGCTGTGCGGGGTGGGCAGAACCAGGGGCCAGAGTGGGGAAGGGCTCTTAGACAGGCGTGTGCAGCTGGAACGAGGGCAGTAGTCACTGCTTGGCTTTCTTGCCCTTTTCCTGCAGATGAAAAGAAGGACGTCGTGGCCTGGCAGGCTCCCTGCCCTTGTCCTGACGTGTGGTTGGGGCACCCGAACAAGGGGAAGGGAGACATCAGGCCCACGGAGGGGCTGGCGAGTCTCGAGCACAGCAGGGGGCCACGTGTGTAGACATCCCCATGGCGGTTGCTGGCGTTCGTCACTCCGCTGTCCCCTTGTTTAATAAGTGGTTCACTCTGACCCGTGTACCACCTGCTGGGCCGGCCCTCCGAGAGGTCCAGGGAGAACCCAGGACCTTCCCCATGTGGATCCAGTTGTGTTGCCACTGTGTCACCGCCTGACCCCAGTCCCCTCAGTTTATTTTTTTAAATTATCTTTAAAATTTTGCCACAGGGCTTGTGTGCTTGCCAGAGAGAGACAGAGAGAGAGAGAAAGTGAGCGCGCATCCCCTATGGGGTATGGTCACACCCTAATCCCTTCTCCTCGGTGCAGGTTTGAAAGCACACACATATACACACATGCACACGCCCAGGGTGTTTCTCAAACCGTCAGGTCCGGGACTCGAACTGTGCAGTCAGCCATGTGGAATCCAGATGCCTTAACCACTACACCACCACCTGGCCCCATCCCCCTCAGTGTTTTTTTGTTTTTGTTTTTGTTTTTGTTTTTGTTTTCAAGAGTTTTTTTTGCTGCAGGGCTCATACCCTCACTGGAGAGACAGAAAGTGAGAAATCACCCCCGGGGGATGGCCATGCCGCAATCCCTTCTCCATCTTCCTCTCGGTATTTTAGGCATGCATGCACATGTGCCGGTGTGTTTCAAGCTGCCAGGTCTAGGATTCGAACAGAGGTTGGCCACCTGGGAATCTAGCACCTTTACCGTTATGCCACCTGCTGCCCCACCCCAGTTTTGAAGGACCTCCCTGCACTCTGGTGCTGGAGACGTCCTTGATCTGTGCCGCTGGCTCACATTTCGGCAGGTACCAGGGCCATGTTCCCAGCGTGGCCTTCTCCTTTGGCTACCCGTATGGTACAGCCACCCTCAAGTACTTCCAGGACCACCGCAACGCGGCCATGGAGAAGGGCCACGCTGCCTACAGCAGAGGCGGCAGCTTCCCCACCCTCTTCTCCTCCAACCCCAACCTGGTGCTGATGGACCGCGCCCACACCTGGGCTCACTGGCTGCACATGCCCAGCTACACACGCTTCAACCTGGACAGCAGCCGCTCCCCCCCCCCTGCCCGGTTCTACCAGGTGCACTGCGGCTGGGGCTGCGCGCCCGCCCGCCCCCCCCACCTGGCCCGGTTCTACCAGGTGCACTGCGGCTGGAGCTGCCCCCCTCTCCGCCCCCCCCCAGCCCTACCCTGTGGAGCAGGTTGGAGCCAGGGTAGCCCAAAGCCAGCTGGGCACCTGGAGAGTGTGGCTGGGCAGTGGGAGGGCTCTGGACACTGCTTCTAGAATCTCCCCAGCTCTAGGGCTTCGGTGGCCCCGTCCCTGCTCTCCCTGCTGCCAATGGAGTTGGGGGTCTAAGGAGGCTCCTGCCCCCTCCTTTCTGCTGCCCTACTGTCTTGAGGTTCCCTTACCTTTTACCTAGACTCACCCTCAGGATAAATCACCCCTAGCAAAGCTGTCCCCCATGCTCCCTGCATGCCAGCTGACTAGCCCCTAGGTCCTAGGGACACTGAACCCACCCCCATACCTTGAGGATGTGCCCTGGGGCTCCCTTAGACTGTAGGGGAGAGGGGATGGTGAGGGTACCTGCCCACCCCTTTCTCGTGTTGCTCCTCCGGCTCCCACAGCCTCTCCCCTGATATGGTCAGTTACACCCAGCCTGCCACGGGCACCCAGGGACCTGAGCTTCCCCTAGCCCTCGGGGCCTGGGTGGACCATTCCCTGCTGTGATCCTGGAACCTCACTGTCCCGCACCTTCTCTAACAACCATCCAGCCTGACCTCAGGATACCTTGGCCCTAGGTCAGACGACTCACATGGGTCAGGTGGCTTCTTGGGTGAGGGAGGGCAGGTGAATCACAGGCTCCAGGGAGCCGGGGACCTCAGTGGGCCTGGGGAAGCCTTTCCCTCATCTTGGCTGTCACGCAGAGCACGCCCTGTCCAGGAGGGAGGGGGACGCCAGGCTCACCCTGTGCTGCATTGCACCAGCAGAGCTGGGTTTCATACTGTATCTTAGTTGGTCCCACGTCTCATTTCCTTTCTGTACAAAGCTGCCATGATGGGTGTCATTGCCCCCATCAGACCGGTGAGGAACTGAGGCTCAGAGAGGACACCCAGTTGCTGGGAAGTCAGGGGAGATGGCCCACACCCCTGCCCACGTATAGCCAGGCGTGGACTGTGGCTGCACAAGGTCCCCCGTGCACTAACCACCTGGTCTCTCCTCGGTCGAGCTGTAGACGGCACAGCAGCATCGGAAGTACTACCGTGACAAGACAGGCCTGGTGCCCCGAGTCCCCTACTTCGTGCTGCCTGTGAGGGAGCCGGAGCGGTACCCCCTCCCCACCGACCTGTGAGTGCCTACCCTCCCTTCTCCGATAGTCAACACTCAGTGCACAGGGCTCTGTGCCGGGCTGGGCATGCACAGCGCCCACACTGAGAAGTGAGCCATGCCCGTGCCCTAAAGAGCCTGCAGTGCAGCGTGCCCTGGCAGAGCAATGGGGGCGGGGCTTCGGCAGCCCACGGAGAGCTGCTGGGACAAGCACTCTTCCGGCCAGATGCACGAGAGCTGGGCACAGACCCCACAATCCCTTGTCCTGAATCTGCAGATTGTCCCCAGCAATGGCTGCCTAGCAGCTACTCCAACCGCCGAAGCCGGTGGGGGCG